CCCCCGCCTAACTCCCGCACCGTCTCCCCCTCCTATCTCAAGCCCTCCGCGCCTTGCTGAGGAGGAGGAGGAGGAGGAGGAAAGGCAGCGGCGGAGCAGCGAGCGCGGAAGATGGAGGTCTCCACGGACCAGCCGCGGTGGGTGAGCCACCACCACCCGGCCGTGCTCAATGGGCAGCACCCGGACTCGCACCACCCCACGCTTGGCCATACCTACATGGACCCCACGCAGTATCCTCTCGCCGAGGAAGTGGATGTACTTTTTAATATCGACGGACAAGGCAACCCCGTCCCTCCGTATTACGGCAACTCCGTGAGAGCCACCGTGCAGAGATACCCCACGGCCCACCACGGTGAGTGCGCCCACCGAGACCCCGGCTCCCACGGGGCGGTCCCGGTCCCGGCCCCGGTCCCGGTCCCGGTCCCGGCCCCTGTCCCGGCCCCGCCATGAAGTTCCTGTACGAGGAGGCTTCCTGCCTTTCTGTCTTTCTTTCTCTATTTCTTTCTTTCTTTCTCTGTATCTTTCTTTCTTTATACTTCTTTCTCTCTTTCTCTTGCTCTCTTTCTTTCCTCTCTTATCTCTCTCCCCTCTCTATCCTCTCTCCCTTTCCCCCCCTCTCTCGCTCTCCTTCTTTCTCTTTCTTTCCCTTTCATCTTTCTCTTGTTGTCTTCCTCTTTCCTTCTCTCTTTCGCTTTGGTTTCCCTCCCTCTCTTTAATTAGGTTAACAGTTAGAGTTTTCATACGGTGTGTAGTTTTTGCACGATTAAGCTGCTCTGGAGAAGAAAAGCAAGCTGGAGAGCAGGGGTGTGAAAACGACCCTGCTGTCCTCACGCTTGGGCTATTTCATTCGCACTTGGTGAGCTTGTTAGGCTTGGGTCGAAAGTTTTGCACATGCATCCAGGGCCGCACCACGGCGTGTGTTAAAAATGAGAAAGAAAGAAAGAAAGAAAGAAAAAAAGAAAAAAAAGAAAGAAACCCCGTGGTGTAACTAGGTACCAGACCTGCTGTGTTTTCCTATGGGTCCTGCAGGAAGGTAGTGATCCACAATGTGAATTTTGTTCCTGGGTCACGGCTTTTAGAGAGGAGGTGAAATACCTGGGGCTGATGCGGCCCAGCTCTGCGGGGGGATGAGTGTTTTGGTGCCATCTTTTTATGAAGAATCGGAGTGATCCAGTATCTATAGCTGGAGTTCACCTGTGTGGTTAAAAACTAGGGAAAAGAGAAAAATAAAAAAAGGAGGGGAAAAAAAGCAGATGCTGATTTGTGAAGCTGGACAGTGACCTCTGTAGTGGCAAAATCTAAAAAGCCCCAGGTCTGCAGTGGAAATCACCCCAAAATCAAGGAGAAGAAAGTGGGACAAGCGAGTGGAGATGGAGCCGAGCGGGGTTCAGGGGGCTGCTCCCAGCCCTCAGCTACTTGTTGAGTGTGAGTCTGCATTAGGCTCCCCTCAGTAACTGCATTGTTCTGCTATTAGTCCCCTTAAAACAATTATTTCTAAGGATCAGCAGCCTTTGTCCTTTCTTTCTTTTCTTTTCATTTCTTTTTTCCAATATATCAGCAGAAAGTGGAAATGCGGTCTCTCTGATCTAGCCTGAATATTATTTACTATGCTACTTCCTGGAGAAGATAATGAATCTTGACCCTTTCTATTCGTATAACCCACCTTCCCTTCCTTTCGAGCAGTTACTTTCAGTATTGTTCACATACGTCTGGTGCGATGAAAACTAGCTTGGAGATTTTCTAGACACACACAAGCTCCCATGCAAACATACGTGTCCACACTGCACCAGCTCTATCTGTGGCTCTATAGATCTCTGTTTGCATCTCTCCTTCTGTATATTTAGCAGTCTCTATACACGAATCACGATACCTACAGAGGTTAAGGCTCTCTAGATGTCAATACATTTCCAGGGCTTTACTAGCAGGCACAAACTTGCTCTCCTCCAGTTGAATAACTGTGCTTTTCAGCTTATAGTGATGTGTTCAAGTTGCTATGGATTTGGGTAGATTTGATTCTTTGGAGATATATATATATATTTTACAAAGGGCAGAGATTAATTTAAAATATTAGGTACCATCCCTTAAGAGCATTTATAACCAAAGAAAACAAGGTTTGACCGTGTAAATCTAGCGTTTTGTTTCTTTTTTTTTCAAAGTCCAGGTCTGAATTTTAAAATACAAGTGAAGGGTGTCTTGTCGTAAGAAGGGGATGGAGAGTTCCTTCTGAGAGAGTTGGTACTCTCTGCGTGTGCCATATCGCCACGAAAAAGCTGTCTAACATTTATGTGCAGCCTCGTGGAAGAAAAAAAGACAATCTAGGCGGTTTGCAGCGTTTAGCAGCTCTGTTGGAAAGGTTATTATCACGTCTGTGGGCATCTTCTGGTCTTCTTCGTTTGGCCAGAGTATTCCCAGGGTTTATAGCCCACGGCTGCATTCGGGAAATTATTTTCCAGCTAAGGAAAAAAAAAAAAAAA